CATTCTTCGAATCAGAGTAGGTAATGGTGAGAATATTCACTTTTGACATGACATTTGGGTTTTAGAATCCCCCATCAAAAATGTTTTCCCTAGACTTTTTGCCCTCACTACTAATCAGAATGGAAAGTTAAGGGAGTTTGGTTAATTTTGAACTTCAAGTTGGTTTTGGCATATTGAGATGAGAAAGAACTTGAGCGATTGGGAGTTGAATCAATGGGCTGATTTGTTGACAACAATCAATAAAATAAGTCTCTCGGAAAACTCGAGAGATGGTTTAATTTGGAGAGAAAATAGGGAGGGTATTTACTCTGTTAGTTCTTGTTTGAAATCGTGTTCCATTGATTCAGAGTTAGATCTTTTTTGGAAGGGACATCTTTGGAAGGGTTTGGTGCCTCCAAGGGTAGAGACTTTCATGTGGCAAGTTGTTCATCAAAAACTGCCCAAGGATGAATTATTAAAGAGAGGTGTACTGAGGATTGTGGATCCTTTGTGTCCTTTATTCAAGCTGGATTTGGAGTCTTCCTCACATTTATTCTTCACTTGCTCGGCTGCGTGGGGATTATGGAATAGGTTCCTGAATTTGTGGAAAATTCCAGTTGTCATACATGAAAATGCACACTGTTTCCTCTCAAATTGGGAAGGATTGGTGCCTTATTCAACTATTTGGCCCTTTATTCCTGGTGTAGTTTTATGGACAATTTGGAAATGCAGGAATGCCATTGTCTTCGAAATGGGTGTGTTCGACCAGGTTCAATTATTCTTTATAGCAAGGTTCATATTAGCATTGTAATGCCCCAAAAATTTAGACAATGACCAAAATGCAAATTTTGAAAGTCTGATGGTTAAAGTGGAAAATTGGGAAACATTTAGGGAATTAAGTGATAAATTTCCTAAAAAGAATTTTATTCCATAAATAGATGGTTTACTATTGAGAGTGGAGTTTTATGGAAATCATATTTGTGAATTTGGAATTTTAGTAAAGAAAAATTAGAAAGGGTTAAAGCCGGTAAGGAATCGATAAATTCAGATCGAATTGGAATTTTAAAAAAAATTGAAGGATGATATAAAATGGTTGAAAATATTATTTTAATATTTTAGATCAGAGAAATTTGGTTTGGAAATGTGCAATTTTTCAGATGTAATCGAAACAGTGGAATTGATTGACTAAAACGCAAGTTTTGAAATTTCTTGGGAAATTTCAGAAATTAAAGTCAAATTAATTCATATTTGACTTTGAAAGATGATAAGGATGAGTTGTCATGGTTTTATGGTAAATAAGAAGATTCATTAAGGGTGATTTGGTCTTATCCCAATTAAATGAATATTTTATTCATTTAAGTGGAATATAAGATAAATTCAGATGAAATGTTCACTACATTTCAACAAAATTTGCTCATCTTCTTCTCCAAGCTGTCGTGGGTGTTCTTCAAAGATGAGAGAAAACTTCAACTCAAATTTCAAGCAATTTTCTTAGGATTTTGAGTATGTTGAAAATAGAAAATTGTTATATGTGAAAAACGCTATCATTTGGTACCAATATTGCATGATAATATTGTTAGTGTTCAAGTTCATCTTGAGTTGATGAAGGGGTTCTTGTATTTCATGGGTTTTGAAGAGTTAAGAGATTTTAAAGAATTGGTTATAAGAATTGATGAAGAACCTAAGAATGAAGTTAAAGAAAACAGTTTGGAGTTTTAATCTGGCAGTAGGTTCGAAAATTCACCAAAAATTATATAAAAATAGTTTCGAGGTTATTTTTATATATTTGTGTTCATATATTGATCTAGTTTCGTTTAAAACAAATGGGGATCAATTTCAAGGTGTATACAAAAAAGATATGAATTTTTAACTGAGGAAATGTCAGAAAATTCGGACAGCAGATTATGAAAAATAGATTCTGTTGATCAACTTTAAAAAATCACCATAAATTGTACAAACTGAATTAGAAGGAGTTATTTATATGGATAGATTCGTATTCGAGTCTAGTTTTCAACGGAAGAAATGGAATTGAATTCCAGTATGTATATAAATACAAAATTTTTATTCTTTAAAGGCAGTGCAAGTTGTCTGAATATGGAAAATTGATGGGTTGTTGTGTAAGTGTTGTATAATTGATATACTATGCTAGAAAATGTTTTTTTGGAATTGAAATGAGTGTTAAATGTGAACTATGATTATTTTGGAAGTTTGAAAAGATTAGTGATTTAAGTACAACAATTGTATAGTTGGTGTACTTAAATGTAATTATGCTTTTGTAAAAGCATTTGAATGGGAATATATTTTAATGCTGGAATTATTAGTATTAAGAATTTAAGTGGTAAAATGGTGAAGGACCATTTTGAGTAAATTGGAAAAGTGGGATCCAATGTTAAAAGGAATTAATAACTATTGAAATATTTGGTGGAAATGAGTTTGAAGTATACTATGGAATTATTTTGGGATATGTTTATGTTAGTACAATACTAACATATGTATTGTTATAAATTTGTGATTTATACAGATCATGATTGATTTGCAATTGAAGCAAGTCAAGTATAAAAAGGGTATATTGTGGACAATAGTGAGGCACAAATATTTTGAAAGATATAAAGTGTCAAGGTGAGTGCAATACATGCATGAAATTATACATGTATGTCTTATACATCATCAGGAAGACTTGTGATAAGTCAACCTTGTTTATAGCAACATGATATTATGTCATTTATCATATATTTGACATATTCTAAATATGTCAAAGGTGGAATATAAAATGCATTGATCACTGATTTTTGCATATGATTTTTATCATGAATGATATTGCGGGTATGAACTGCCTAATGTTAAATGGTATTGATATACTTTGCCATGGATGGATCAAATAAAATTGATTATATGCCCAAGTATATTGAGGTTCAGTGGTATTAATGGCATGTCATAGAGTCTAACAGTTGCATATTAGGTAGCACTAGAGTGTCTAGAGAAGGCACATAGTGCATGCCTTAGTGTCTAGTGAATACATAAAATAAAACACTACGGTGTACTAGGTGGGTAAATCTCGACCTCAGCACTACGGTGTACTTGGAGGGCTTCATTTGTTGGGTAGCTAGGCCAGCAAACGTAGAGGCAGACGTTTTAGCAAAGTTTGGAATTGGCTAAGATAGGGAGTTGTGGTTGGGTTGTTTTTCTTTTTGTGTCCGGGTTTTTCTATTGTATGGGAGGGTAAGCTTGGTTGTAATCACATACTTTGCAATAATCTTTTATTAATAAAATTTGAGGCACTCTTTTCCTCCTTCCGTTGATTATGGAACATCTTAAGGTGTTTTAGTAATCATGAAGGTGTTTTTAGTGAGGCCTCCACTTCTTATCAAAAAAATAATATTAATATCCAGACATCTTATTGTTCACCTATAGCACATGATCTTTTTATTGGAACTCTATCTGCTGAAGGCCATTGGATGGGGTTCTATGATGTGATGTACTTCTTTAGAGAAACGTTTTAGTGCTATATTATGAATGTTTAGTAATGTTGAAAGGTGGATATTTTTGCCTGGGTCTAAAAATGTGTTTGATACAATAGGAAGTTTAAATGATATGGTTCATGTTAATTTGGATTGTGAAATTGTATTTTATATACTAATACCAGCGTTGGAAACTTCGTTGCACTTCCTATAGCTGTTAAAAATGATTGTATACCAATATTATATTGAATTCATTCTGTAACACGGATAGATTTGAGAATTTTCTTATGGAATGCTTTCATAATTGAGGGTAACGTTTGATTTTGTTTGTATTAGTTGAACCCTCTGGCTATTTATGTAGGAGAGACAGTCGACTTTACCAGATCTGCCATATATCATTAATAAACTATTTTCTCTTTTCTGTGGCTCTGTTCATATTGCTTTATAGGTTTTCAATTCCATTTTAACCACAACCAAACTTTGATACTGGATTTTCTTTTTTTTCCCTGTAACTATTGATTCCTTCTGTAGGTTCTTTCTATTGTCGTGCCAACTTGGTTAAAATTTTCTTATGATATGACATTTTCAACTTTCTGTTTTGCTTTAACTTGTAAAGTTGGTCGCCCTAAACATAGTGCCCTTTATTTTCAGTATGCCATACTAGCATTGGATTCTTCGGCTCTTGATATTGATCAGGTGGAGAATCTGATTATATTTTGTCCCACTAAAGAAGAAATGGAACTGCTTAAGGTAATATATATATGCTGTAACATTTGATTGTATATGTTTCCAAATTGTACGTTTTCCAGTCTATTTACTGTGCTCTTTAAATGAAACTGTATTTAAAAAGAACTCGTTACATATTATCTTATCACCTAGGAAATAGCATGTTATCTCTATACAATAAAAATTATTTGACATGGGAATTCACATATCAACATGGGACAGTTGTATTGCCCCCATTCTCTTAAGGGTTAAAAGGCAGTAGACCACTTTATGGAAGATTTAAAGCAGCCTTTTACATTTTTTTTATGTTCAAAGTCCTGGCTGAACCTGAACCTTTCCAGTTTTAGGAGGATCATTTAAATGTCCAAATATTTTTCTTATTAGTTATGAATAAGACTACATCCCTAACTAATTTGCAAGCATGGTAAGGATTCAGTTATAGTTTTATTTCAACCCCATACCAGACAAGAAAGGAAAGAACACACTTACATTTAACTTATGTTCTGGTAGGAGTCATGAGAAGAAAGGGGAAGGGATAAGAAAGAACTGGTGCCTTCTTCCAACTTGGAAAATAGGGATGATCTGAGGGAAGGATTCCTTTAGAACCTCTGAAGTTTGGAACCCTTTTTTCTTTAAATTCCTTAAATTGGGATGATCTAGCGGAAGGAATTCCCTTTTACGACTTTTATTAGATAGCCCTCATTTGAACATTTTATTTAACTTAAAAGGATGTAATTGTAAAAATAATTTTGGTATTTTTTGGGTAGAATTATACAGGTGACAAGGCAATGCTTTGGAAGTGTGAATAGGTCTGTTCCAACATCCATCTTTAACAAATTCAGAACCCTTAACTTGATCAGCTGTTAATACTATGATTGATAAATCTTTCAGTATTTCCTAGAGATGATGAAGGTTCCACGAGTAGAATCAAAATTACGAGTATTTGCATTTAGAATCACCTTTTCTTCTCAGGTATTGTCTGTATAATTTTTATATTCAATCTTGTATGCTGGAATTCATTATTAATCTATATTCATTCTAACTGTTTCAGGAGGATGACTTAAGATCTAACTTGAGCATCATTAATCATGCAACTACAGAGGTACTGTTAACTAAATTTCAAATGCGTGATGCATAATTGCTCATTTTGCATGCTAAATGCGGTATGTTTTTCTTCTTGCATCTAAAATCTCAGAGACTAATTTTAAGGTATTAGAATCTGTGAAATTGCGTCAGATAATGCAGACAATTCTCACATTGGGAAATGCTTTGAATCACGGCACTGCACGAGGTATCTAGCTGGTCCTGATTAGGAGTATGAACAGTTTTTTTAACAATGCCTCTTCATATCATTATTTCACTTCTATTTGCAGGATCTGCAGTGGGATTCAAATTGGATAGTCTCCTTAAATTATCTGGTACACGTGCAAGGAACAACAAGATGACTTTAATGCATTATCTATGCAAGGTAAGAATGCTGAAAGACTTCTTCTGAAAGTTAGACTTCTTCGAATTGGGAATCGGGAATAAGGTTTCTTGTTCTGTTTATGGGGACAGAGCTAATGATGCTGTAATTTTGTGCCCTTCAAATAGTATTATGGTGACTTGAGAAAGTTCTCTAATACTTTGGTACTGTGTATTTTATATTTACTAGTTCCTAATGTCACATGTTTCACGTGTTTTTGTGTTTGTTTTCATGTAGGCTATGACGTGAGAAGTTAGATGCTCTTTATTATTGTTGTTGTCCTTAGGGTTTGGGATGGTCAATCATCACTATAAATAATTTTTGGTGCACAACTCGTTTTTGAAAAGAGACAGCCGTTTGTTTTGGTTATTTCTTTTTCCTGTGGTTCAATTACATAGTAACCTTACTCTTAACAATTTTACCTCCTTGCCCAACATGATTTTTTTCATTTTAAATAATTTGGAATGTGCTAAAGTCCCTTCTGGCATGTTTTACTTGGGTCCTAATTCCTAAATTGTTCATCTCCTGTTTCTTTTCTTTTTGTTTTTTTGCATGCGTTAGCTTCTATCAGAGAAAATGCCAGAGTTGCTGGATTTCGATAAAGATCTTGTTCATTTAGAAGCTGCTTCTAAGGTACCATCTTTACAGTTCTAGTTTATTGGATCATTTTCTTCTTAAAGTTGTTAAGTTTTTTAATCCGCTTGGCTTTCATACATCTGGCTAGATTCAATTGAAAAACCTTGCTGAAGGAATGCAAGCTGTGAGTAAGGGTCTTGAAAAGGTTGAGCAAGAACTCACTGCTTCAGATAATGATGGTGATATCTCTTTGGGCTTTTAGAAGGTGAGGAAAGATTGTTGCTTAACAAAGAATCTAACCCATTAACTTTGCTACAGATTTATCTACTTTACTTTTTAATGTGTTGAGTTCTCTTGCAAAAATCTCCTTGTTCACTTTTTCCTGTCATTATAGATGTTGGGATTTTGCCTGGTGTTGATTAGCAAGGAAACAAACAAAGAATCAATTAATTATTTTGTTTTCCTTTTAACAAACTAGTGCACCTTTTGGGGAAAAATTACATTGACTCCTAGATAAAACTTTTGTACATAAGCATGAAGACTGAGAAAACTTTTGATCGACAAAAGCAAATATCTTTGTTTATCATATTTCTAAAATTTCTGTTTTAAATATTATTTTCAGTAGAAGACTTTCATGAAATGAATTTATCTTATAAATAAAAAAGACTGGAGATTATACTAAATTTCTTTATCTTCGCAACTCTTATTTTACATTATGCAATTAGTGTTAAATGGAGGTTTCCTTGGTTCTAGGTGTAAGGTTACTTATCTCCTTATATTCTGAAGTGGTAAGTGCTTTCCCGGTTTTGTAGTTGTTCATACGATGGTTTAAACTTGTCATGCGTTGCAGTTTAGTCGAAGTTATGTTGTCTTGCAGGGAAGAAGTGCTGATTCATTATACCAGTACTTTGGAGAGGATCCGGCACGATGTCCTTTTGAACAAGGTTTTCCACGTCCTGACATTTATGTTTTGAATCAGAAACCTTTGATATGATCTTTTTTCTAATGGAACAAATGTTGACTGCTTGAGTTTATTGTTTGTTCTGCAGTGATCAGATATTGGTTGTTTTCGTTAAGATGTTCAAGAAATCACGGGAGGAGAACGAGAAGCCAGCTGATGCCGAGAAAAAGAAACTGGAGAAGGAAGCCATGAAAGAACGAGCAGCTGTAAAGGATGCGGCCGTACAGATGAGTCAAGTTTTACTTCTCAAATCCTGAAACACACTCTGCAACGATAATGATGCTTTTGTAGTTGAAAACTTTGAATACCACGTTTCAGTAAATAATCTTCTGGATATTTTGTGGGCTTGAATAATAAGAGTTATATTTGTCCCAGCTTGGCCTGCCGGAATCTTGTTTTACACTTGAAAGATATATTAAATTCAAAGGGTGAGTTTTGTGCAAGTGTTTTTGCATCAAAAACCATCAAGTTGTAAAAGATTTAATTTTAGAGCTGTGTCAAATTCTCTTTAACCCCAATATTTCCATATATGCTATTCTGCTTTCTCCTTGAAATTTGTAATTCACGTATCGTTAGTGTACGTTTTGCAAGTCGGATCAGAAATTTTAACGTCCAAGTTCCCGACAATTTTTTAACACCATTATTAATCTCACTCAAATTTTATTTAAAAATAAACTGAAATTAAATATTAGCTTTGATTTATAAAATCTATTAGCTACTGCTTGTCTAATATTTAACGAATTAAATCAAATCAAAAAACCTACAAGTTTTTTACCCTTCCATAAATAATTATATTTATCTTGACCATCGCTAATTCACAATTACAGGAGGATTACTCCTCCGATTACCGAGGACTTGCAAAATTTGAATGGTGGACAGGCTCCATAATCAAGCTGTAGACTTATGTCTCTATCTGGTTATATGTTCTCCAGTAGCAATGGCTCCTGATAAAGGGATTTTAGTGACAACAATTGGGCAAACGTGTGTGCTAAATATAACTCGTTCACTTGAAAAAAAAAAAAAGGTTTATCCTACAGCTACTTGCAACATTCCTAGTAGATAATAAGACATACTGCATAGATTCACATTTCGGTAGAATGTATCAAGTCTCTGGTTGCAGCAATAATAAAAAACCACTCTAGATTAAAAAAAAGGCTTACTCCCAACAGTACAAGATAGAACACCAAAAACAAAAAAACAAAAAAAATAATTGTAATTCATCCAAAGCATTGCCTTAAAATTAACAGAAAAAAGAAAAACACTATTTAGCAGCTTGCCCTTCTTCTGCTGCAGCTTCAAAGGTCTCACCAGGTACAAGATCTGGTACCTCCTCATCATCCTCTTCCTGAGTGGCAGCTGCACCCGTACCATTACCAGCAGCTGGTGCCTGCTTCTGAAATTGCTCTGCCAATTTCCTCAAGTTATCCAAGTTATCTGGCCCTACAAGTTTCAAAATATTAGTCAACAGCTGATACCGTTTTACAATAAAAAAAAGAACCCAAACTGCCCACAGTCAAGAGTACATACCCAACTGGTTGATGATTCCAGGGAGAATATCCTGCAATTCTGGAATAGGGGTAGATCGGACAAGTCAGACCAATAATGCCAGAAAGCAACATAAAAAGGGCATAGTGGATGACAAGACCCCCAAGTGTTAATGCCTTGGGAGTTAAAAACAGCAAATCTTCGAAGGGTGAATAACAATAAGATTTTATCAACTACTGGAGGCTTAGAAGTTAGGGAAGCATACTCTTTGTCTGAGGCAAACCACTAACAACCCAGGTGTTGGCAGCAATAGAAGCTTGAACTGCCATAATCAATATAGACCATCACGTATTAGTTTGTAATGCAAAACCTCAGAAAATCACCCAATCCACTTCAACAAAGTTATATATACCTTTTGGATTAATAAACTGGATAACAACATCATCTTTGAAGAAGTTGACCTCCTCAATAGCAGGAATAGCATTTACTCCTATTCGCTTGAGGGTGCTCTGTAAACGTTTGTCGTCTGTGGTGGTAGTCTTGTGGACAGCCTTCTTCTTTCTATAAACACAAATCAAAATAACAAGACAATAATTGAAACGCAAGTCATATAGAGGCATCAAATGCATGGACCTATCACATGGCATACAATGCAGATGAATCAAACTTCCAAGTTATGAATGACTAAAGGGTAAGAACATTCTGCTTGCCATGATATGCTAATCATACAGACATTCTGCTTGCAATGATCGAAAAATCTGCCGGGAAAAAAATGATTCAAGAGCCTCTCGTAAACAACAGAGTACAACAGTTGCCTCCTATTTTTGTAGTTGATAAAAGCTTAATATAGATAATTCAAATCATGGACATACCTTCTCATGCTACCCTTCCCACCGGTGCGGACTGCACCAGCCATTTTCATGAGCCTCTCCTTATTCATCTGCCCATGGGTATAAACAGCTAGTCAATGAACAGAACAGCTGATATACACAATAAAATAAGAGAAACTTGAGGTAACATGCTTAGCAGAATATTTAAAACAAATTAATAAACACACCACATATGAGAACACCATGTACTACACAATATGCAAGCAAATCCAGGCAAACATAAAAGAAATGAAATAGCTCACGCTTCAAAAACCACAAAAAGTAATTCAGCCAAAATCTTACATTTACTCTTTTCCAAGAGGGAAAATAAAAAACAGAAAATACATTTTTGAAAAGAAATAAAAAAAGATGAGAACTTTAGGATAATATACAAAAATATCAGGTACCCTAATTTACTTACAGTAATTGTATTTACGCGCTAAAGCGTAAAAAAACATAAGCTAAGCTGGAAATCTAAAAAAAAGAGAAACTTAAGCAGCATAAACGAATATCAACCGGAAGATTTTTCACACAATAATTTACCCAAAATATGCGAACAGAAGGGTCATCAAAACCCAAACCAAAACAAACTAAATAGAGGGGGGGAAGAAATCAAACATTGATTAAAAATTAAAATGATAGAGATGGAATAAACGTCCGCCTTCACTAAACGTAGATGCCAAATGATTAAAGGAACGGGGAATTAAGAGACTGAAACCTTTATAGTATGGAAATATAATAGATATGCCGCGACTGAGACTGCAACCACAACTGGGAAAAGATGGGGTGAACAAAATAGGGTTTTTCTATGACTCGGTGAGCACGATGAAGCTCCTACCTTCCAAGCTTCAGCCTTTTATGCCTTTAGGGTTTTTATTTCCACCCTTGGATTTTAGTATTTTGATCAGACGGTTATAACGTCATCGGGTTCATGGTTGTGTTTGCAGAAATGGACATGCCATTTCACTCCCCAATTTCACTTTTTCTTTCCGTTCTGAGTTAATTATAGTATTCATCCCTAAATTATGATGATAATTTTAAAATGGTATTAGATTTTGAAATATTTTAATTAAATCTTTTTACTTAGGAATGGACCGTATTTGTTTAGGGCTGAGTAAAACTCGTTTCGAGTATTAAAAATTGATTTTTTAATCGGTTAAAATCAAATTGACTCGACTCGTAATTTTATAAACTTGACTCGGCTCAAAAGAAAATTAAATCTGAGTCGAGTTATAAAATAGAACTCGAATAATAACTTGAATAACATGAAAATTTTGTAATTATTGAATTGATTTTCAAGCTTGAGCCGAGTCCTTCAACTCTATATGATATTTATATATATCACATATAAGAAATATATGAAGAAATATATGTGTATTGTATATGATTATAGGAAAAACGTTTAAATTGAATCAAATAGTACCATAATAATATAAATATTATAATTAAATTTAAAAAGAAACTCGAAAAACTCAACTCGGATCGAATTTTATAAACATGAACCAACTCAAAAAAAATTAAATAAAGTTTGAATTATATAATAAATTTTGACAATTCAAAAAATTTAAATTTTTTTAATTGACTCATTCGAATAAATTCTCACCTCAAATTTTTAAATATTAGATGAAGGTGAAGTAGAGCATATATTTTTAGAAGGTGGACGTGGAGTTGTTTTGGTATTAATTTGTTCCACTTGTTCCATTCCTTTATTTAAAATTATCATTTTACCTTCATATATAATCATTCAAAGGATAAAAATATAAATAAAAATAAACTAAATTATGATTGTAGAAATTATTTTATTTTATATCAAATTAAAATTTTAATATACAATTCAAATGTATTTGTAAAATATTTTAGAATAAGGTATTTTAACCCGTTTATATATATTTTAGAATAAGTTTCTGTTTATATATATTTTACCCGTTTATATTTTAGAAAAACTCAAGCACTTGATTCCATTAGTTTCTGTTTTTTTGGTCTGGATTACCTTGAATTTATTGTGACCGCTGTACAAAATGATATTTGTGGATTAATGGACTATTTGGCCACTCTTTTTTTCCTCGTAGGATTCAATCCTGTACTGATAGGAGTGTTTTTTTTAAAGTTTTTTCCAAAAAAAAAATACGGATAGGTAAGAGAGATAACAACTAAACAGAACAAGGACGAATTTTGAAATTCACTATCACTTCTATTGATATTGTTGCGGTCATCTTTTGGGTTGGGTCTGAAATTAGATTTCGACTTGAAAATTGGTTAGAGTCACAATCGATCATTTAAAAAATATTTAGGTTGATCGGACACCATTTTACCTGATCTACATTTTACCAGAAATGTACCGGGTTCGGGAGTCGGTTACAGTCAAGAAAGAATTAGCACCATTGTACTGCCCTTTTGGTACCACTTAATTTATCGGTTGTCTTAATTACGAAAACTAAAATTTAAATTAAACTTACATACTCAATTCGTATTATTTACCTTTGATTGATTGAAGTTACCTCTAAAAAGTTAAAAATGTTATGTTATAAAATAAAAGAAATAACAAATAAAAATTAAATCTAAAAAAATCAAAGAAGGAAATATTAAATTTAAAAAATGTTATATAAAAATGTTAAAATAAAATAAATGAAAAATATTAAATTTTAGAAAAAAAATATAAAAAATGTTAAAAAAGAAAATAAAAGTAAAACATAATAAAAAATTAAAACAAAATGAGAAATAAAGATAAAACAAAATAAGATAAAAAAAAGAAAAATATAATAAAATAATAAATAATAGTAGTAAAGATAAAACTGAGTTTTTAAAAATTGTTTTTAAAATAAAATATATGAATTAAATAAAATAAAATAATTAAATAAATAATCTAAAGAGATTGAGATAAAGAGAAATTTACAGTGAAAGCAACATCAGACTTTAACTTTGTCTCAAATTCCTCGGATTATCGAAACAGATCTTTACTTCAAAATTCACGTCGGCTTACAAGGTCAATTTTTCGCTGCCGACTTGAATTATGTTGTTTCAACAATAACTTGTTCCTATCTCAGTTTCTTCTTAGCAAACGATTTTGCTAAGTGTGTTATTGGAAAGTCGAATATGAATTCCCACGTTTGGGACTGAGCATTCTCTTTAGCCTTTGGCTTAAAAGAAAATTAGCTAAGCATGTCCAAAGTCATACTTAGCATAATTGTTGAAAACGAAATTTAAAGGAAAATAAAGAAGTGTGCGAAAAAAATAGAGAGAAAGCTAGAGAGAAAAATGAGATTTTATTTTCAAATCTGTGTGTTTATAGGATTACCCTGAGAGGATATTTATAGCCTTCAAATTCCTAAAAATAAGCTAAAGATAATTCCTAAAATAATATATTTTATCCTAATTAAAACACTTAAAATTATTTAAATTAAAATACATAAAACAAAGATAAAATAAAATAATATTTAAAATAATATATTAAATCCTAATTAAAATACTAACATCTTTTGAAATTAAAATACAAAAATAAAATAAAATATTAATATATACTAATAAGCCTCTAACGAAAATATGTGTCTACATATATGCTATTCCTTGTTCGTTCGGTCTCACCTTACCTCAATTTGATTTTCTTTAAAAGAAATGTACAAAATATAATTTTATTATAGAAATATATTATGATGAATAATAGTATGGTTGTTAGTTTGATATAATGTATTTTATATCACTGAAATCATTAATCTGAAAATTTAATGTACAATTTAAGTGCAATTGCTAAACTATGAAGGGAGCTTTAACTTACGATTTGATTGACAATACTAATAATATAAGAATTTAATTAAAATATTTTGAGATTAAAACTTAAATCACAATTTAATTTAAAGCTGTTTATATTCTTACATCGTTGAGACAATCATTAGTTAGCCAATATCTTGATACATTTGTCTCCTACATAATTTATCAATTATTGCCCAAACCAATTTATTTTAGAGGTTAAAAGAATCATTATTATTTTTAAAGGCCATAGGTTCAAACACCAACGATTGCAGCAGGGTGATTGAACATTTATTATCAAATGATTGATAGTATTTATAACATATATTACTTTATAATCACCTTAGATTATTGTTTTGGCTCGGGAGAAAAAAATGGCCCCCTAATTTAAAAAAATTAAGAAATATGTAATATAAAATTTTTATTAAATTAAACAAATAATAATTCATTGCAATATTAAAAATGTAAAAAATATATAAGTATACAAATAATTATAAAAAATATTAGTTTCGAGCATTTCTTGATGCAAAATCACTTATGATAGTGTCAACATCAATTTTTTCAACATATTTTTCTCAATACATACAATGTTGAAGAATTGGACAAAGATAACGAAAGAACACAAGAATTTTAACAAGGTTCGGCAATGTGCTTACGTCCTCAGTGCCTAGGCGGCGCTAGAAGTTTTATTCAATGTTTCATAGCCCCCTCAATGAGACTTTCTTTGTAAGGACAGTTGATGTTCGCTTCGCTCACTCCGCTCCATCCCCTTTCCTCTTTACTTATATATTTATGAGCCATACCTATCAAATCTCCACCTTGGCGAATATCATGCCCCTTGAAAAACTTCAATATGGGTTGGGTTACCTTACTTCTTTAACAACTCGAAACATTCAACAAGTCTAAGCAATGCTTAAACTTGTCGGTCATAACTGGCTTGGTGAACATATCAGTGGCATTCTTATCAATATGTACCTTCTGAAACAAAACCTCTCTAGATGCTACTAACTCTCTGATCTTGTGAAAACGTACATCAATATGCTTAGTTCTAGAACGATATACCTGATTCTTAGCCAAGTGAATAGCACTTTGATTGTCGCAAAGCAACTGAACTCCACCTTACTGAACACCCAACTCTTTCACTAAACCAGTGAGCCATAAAGCTTTTATTACAGCTTCAGCCGCTGCCATGTATTCAGCTTCAGTTGTAGATAGTGCCACAACATATTGAACAGTAGACTTCCAACAAATAAGTCCTCCACCAAGAGTAAAAACATACCCTGTCGTAGATCTTCTATTATCCAAGTCACCTGCGTAGTTTGAATCCACATATCCTACAACCAAAGGATTATCCCGCTGACTACCAAAAACAATTACATGTCCCACAATACCCTTTAAGTACCAAAAAATCCACTTGACTGCTTCCCAATGTTGCTTACCAGGTTTAGACATGTACTTACAAACTTGACTAACAGCATGAGCTAAATTAGGACGAGTACATACCATTGCATACATCAAGCAGCCAACAACATTAGAATACGGAACCTTTTCCATATCTTCAGCTTCTTTATCTGTCTTCGGGCACTGTTCTGATGAGAGCTTAAAGTAATTCACCAATGGAGTGCTAACTGGTTTTGCGTTGCTCATCGCAAACCTTTCTAGCATTTTCTCAACATAACCCCGTTGAGATAGCCACAGTTTCCTTGAGTCTTTGTTTCTTCAAATTTCCATTCCAAGAGTTTTCTTTGCAGCACCTAAATCTTTCATATCAAATTCATGACTCAATAAGGTTTTCAAACCAATAACATCATCCATGTTCTTCGCAACAATCAACATATCATCAACATACAATAACAGAAAAATAAAAGAACCATCATCAAGTCTCTTAGCATAGACACAACAATCATACTCACATCGGTTGTAGCCAATCTTGATCATATAGGAGTCAAACCATTTATACCACTATCTCGGAGACTGTTTTAACCCGTACAAAGATTTCTTCAATCTGCAAACTAAATGCTCGTTTCCAAGTTGAGTGAAACCTTTAGGCTGTCGCATGTAGATCTGCTCCTCTAAATCACCATGCAAAAAA